CCCAGTGATTACCTCTGCAGAAAACAACCATTTTAATACTGTATTCATTCTTTTCTTATCCTGTAAGCAAAATGTTCGATCCATTCTTCGCCCATGAACAAATTTCTCGCTTGGAGAATAACCATCCAAACATGAATTTCCTTCTTTTTTGTGTAGATTCGAGCTGTTTGTAAAGGGAAGTTGGAGGTCGAGCGAGTTATTGAAGAATATCTATGCTTTGCGCTGTGCACATGAGTGCGTTCCAAGTTTGCGCGCATTTTCAGCGAAAGCCCTCAACTTCGCTCGTAGTCTCACTCTTCTAATCTAGTTTTGAATACTTGCCATGAAAGTCTCATAACGTCAGCTCAACCACTTTTAATCTAGACAACAACTCTCAAATACATTTATCTCTGCTCTACACGCCTCCTGACCGACTCGTCTGATTCAGCTCCAGCGGCTCCTGTATCATCAGAAAATGCTCTGGAATAGAGTTCTGCATCCCTTTGGATACTTGAGATGTTCCTACTCTTTGCTTACATACATTCACTCCATTAGATTGTAAATATATGTTCTATTCTACTTTTGACCGCTCACTACCTTCTAGTCTATATTTTACTATATATCTATGAAAATTTTCTCTGTTCCTATGGCGGCCAAAGTGGTATTCCTCGGCTTTTCAGTGGAAGTAATATTGAGCACATAATATGAAACAATTAGAATTGTACGTTCTTTCAAGCGCTACGCATCTTTGAATTCGGTTTGGATCAATTTTTGCAAATAAAGTGCGAAGGAAACAAAAAAACTTGTTGAGAAATTACATGCAATAAAAGGAAAACGCACGGATTACTTCTGCAAAATTTCCCGCTTTTCGCATTAACATTCTCATAGGGGTCAAATGCTCGAAATTGAAAAGTCGTAGCTTAAAATCAATTTTGATCGAAAAACTTCTTTTCTGATCGATTACCACTTACAGAAAGTTTTTGTTTCATTGAAAAATTTGTAGATTGCGTTTTTGGTGACAGTATGCCCAGCGGAGAACACTGAAAAATGATTGAAAATCCCAATTACTGCGCTCACGTTCCAAATAAACATTAGTTCAGTTATTGTGCGCACCATTTAGGTGGAATAATGATGAAATATTATCTCTTGCGATGAAGTTTTTCCGGCATTGTCTCCGTCGTAGAGATTATACGACGTTTGTAAGAATACCTAAGATAAGATAAGATATCAGGAAAATCCTAATATACTAGCGAATGACTCAATCATTGCATTTATGATGATGCATCCTATCTAAGGCAACAAATTCGATGTGTTCTATGAAGATACCGGTATATAAGTTACACTACAAGACACATCAACTCTAAGAGGCTAGCAAAATCCTAGTAAAGACTCACATTTTTGGCGATTTCAGTACTTTGAAATTACATTATGGTTACGGTTTGGTGCCATAGCAAAGGAGACAATAGAAATGCACCTTTGGCATGGCCGTAGCTTTCTATCAATTATAGTGCTTGATTTCCGAGGTTTTCGAATACCAAATCAGACGGGGAGTCAAGGTTCTAAAAAAAGCTTCTAGAGCATTTGTGGTGGACTAGAAAAATATTCTTTTCTGGTGAGATCATCTGCTGCTCTTCGTTCTAATCGCTTCTAACTCATATTCAGAATACGAAAACGTTGCTATTTCTAAGGAAAAAAGCCACAAGACATAGATGGGACGAGCTTGGAGATCATCGAGCAACTAAATCGCATGTAATCTGGCGGATAACAAGAAATTTTAGTATCAAGCGACATTATGTTGATTGATTGTGATTCTATAAAATTTTGTGGTCAGTGGAACTCACCAAAAAGGAACTTTTAAAATGATCGTTGTGTCAAATTTTTAAAAATTATATGTCTCTTTGTAAAGATC